TCAGAGAGAGATTCAGCTGTAATAAACTCGCCGGCGGCCTCATTAACTAAGAAAATATTAGTACAGAGAGCTTGCTACCAGTCCGTGCCAGGCCGGGGACAATATACAGGGACTGTTTGCCTTTATGATTATATAGAGCTGGAGGCCCTTCATTATGAACATTCTACAAGTAATTGATGTTATCTGGATGTAGACATATAGACATGGCGCTTAGAGGAGAGCTTATTATTACAAAGTGGAAATTAAAGTGGACCTTTCAAGTCTGGCTGAATACATTTAGGGGGTTATTCACTAAAGAGCCGCGGGATCCAGCCGTAGCTTCGGCTGATCCTTCGGCTCACTCCGGCCGCCGGAGCCCTTCGGTTCAGTCAAACCGAAGGGCTGCTGTATGCACTATTCACTATATTCGCAATCGCCAGTACAGCAGCCGAGCGGCTCAGCCGTGCCGAAGGCATATGCATCGGCTCGACTGAGCCAAAGTGACAGCCGAAGCGGGGAGAAAGATCTTGTAAAGTCCTCTGTATGTTATTTACATGGCGGCACTCATCCATAAAGAAAGGGGGTTTGCTCCCCAGTTTCCTGAGGAAACTCATAAGGGATCCTTGGGGCCCCTTTACTACTTCACTGCAGACTGAGAACTTCCGCCTGGCAAAGTGAATGGCAATGGACTTACTGGCACTCCTAATATTCCTGAATCAGGGGCCCAGTGCCCCCCCCCCTCCCAGAACCTTGGTCCAATACCAGCTGTTACCACCTCTCTTGTATGTTTTATATCATTAAGTGATTTTTTGCTTTAATATTCAGCACAGTTTTCTGTTTTTCTTACAACATTCAAATCCCCCAAAAATATTTTATTTGTTTCAGTTAAAACCCGATTTTAATATAAAACAAAAATGACAAAAATGGTTTCCTGTTCCAGTTCCCTTCGCGGTGACGGGGCCCCCGAGCCGTATATGGTTTTGTTATTACAGATATTCGCTGAGCTGGTTGTGAGTGGCTCCGGAGAGCTGTGTTCTAAATATTTACACGTTGTAAAGGCCGGAGGTCCAATAAACGCACATTACACTGAGATTTACAATGCTTCATTCCCCCGTGTCATAATACAGAGGGGAGATCATTCAATCTTCTCATATATGCTGGCTGTATGTCATGTGTCATGGAGGAGGAATGCACCAGCACTATGCAGGCCAATGCGGCTACAGAGCAATTATTTGTAGACGGAATCCTTTATGTTTTCATCTTTATTAATTCGATTTTTAATAAAAGTATGAAATATTTGTGATTGCTCCTAAAGGGATCATTCCCACCAGCTAGATTGGGTCGTATTGGGCTGTGTTGGGATGTATGGGGCTGTGTTGGGATGTATTGGGCTGTGTTGGGATGTATTGGGCTGTATTGGGTTGTGTTGAGATGTATTGGGCTGCATTGGGCTGCGCTGGGATGTATTGGGCTGCGTTGGGATGTATTGGGCTGTGTTGGGATGTATTGGGCTCTGTTGGGATGTGTTGGCTGTGTTGGGATGTATTGGGCTGTGTTGGAATGCATTGGGCTGTGTTGGGATGTATTGGGCTGTGTTGGGATGTATTGGGCTGTATTGGGTTGTTTTGGGATGTATTGGGCACGTTGGGATGTATTGGGTTGTGTTGCGATGTATTGGGCTGTATTGGGATGTATTGGGCTGTATTGGGATGTATTGGGCTGCGTTGGGATGTATTGGGATGTATTGGGCTGTATGGGGCTGTGTTGGGATGTATTGGGCTGTATGGGGCTGTGTTGGGATGTATTGGGCTGTGTTGGGATGTATTGGGCTGGGATGTATTGGGCTGTGTTGGGATGTATTGGGCTCTGTTGGGATGTGTTGGCTGTGTTGGGATGTATTGGGCTGTGTTGGGATGCATTGGGCTGTGTTGGGATGTATTGGGCTGTGTTGGGATGTATTGGGCTGTATTGGGATGTATTGGTTGCGTTGGGATGTATTGGGTTGTGTTGCGATGTATTGGGCTGCTTTGGGCTGCACTGTTATGTATTGGGATGTATTAGGCTGTGTTGGGATGTATTGGGCTGTGTTGGGATGTATTGGGCTGTGTTGTGATGTATTGGCTGCCTTGGGATGTATTGGGACTGTGTTGGGATGTACTGGGCTGTATTGGGATGTACTGGGCTGTATTGGGATGTACTGGGCTGTATTTGGATGTACTGGGCTGTACCTCCAGTGCTCCCCTTTTCTTTACAGACAGAGCTCAGACTCCTCCATTGGCTGCAGGCAAGAGATTGAGTGGGTTGGTTGCTCTCTAACCTTTGTCTCCTTTAATCATCTGGCTCAGGCACGTTCTATGAAATATTAGGTGCTGTGCAGGTAGCGTCGCCACCTTTCCCTCATGTCAAACCCAAACACTCCAGCGGTGCCCATGGCAATTTGTTTCTTGAGAATATAGAGGAGAGAGCGAGGGAGGGAGTAAGGAGACCGGCTATAGAGGATTACAAATCCCAGCAATACAAAATTATATGAAGCTACATACTCCATATTGTTCCGGGATGGTGCCCTATTGTCACCAGGGTCTCAGGTAACCTGTGCGGGCTCTCACCAGGACTGTGCAGGCTCTGAGGTGGGCTGTGCGGGCTCTCAGGTGGACTCTGCGGGCTCTCAGGTGGGCTGTGCGGGCTCTCAGGTGGACTGTGCGGGCTCTCAGGTGGGCTGCGCGGGCTCTCAGGTGGACTCTGCGGGCTCTCAGGTGGGCTGTGTGCACTCTCAGGTGGGATTTGCAGACTCGCAGGTGGGCTATGTGGAATCTCAGGTGTCTGGCTCTGTGGGGTCTCAGGAGGGCTATGCAGGCTTTCAAGAGTGCTTTGTGGGCTGTGTGGTGTCTCACCAGGGGTCCGGAGGTGTGCAGCATGGTGTCAGAAAAGATGAGCGGGCCAGTACCTGCTTACAGGCACCCATGGCTCACAGTAGGATACCGCTTCAGATGGACTCGGCTGCCTGAGGTTTCACGCTTGCTGGGGACCTGGGCAGCCACATCTATCAAAACATTTAAAGTGCCGGCATCAGGAATTAGTGTCTTGTGTGCGGGTGGTACCTGGCCTGCCACCCGGACACAAGACTCAAAAACCGGACTGTCCAGGTGGATCCCGGCCAGGTGGCAACCCCATGTGCAGGGTAGCACCCCTACTAATACAATGAATGAGTGCAGTTATTTGCACCCTAAAACATAGATTTGGCATTTATCGGCCTAGGAACAGAACATATGGATGTAGTGTGTTATCTCCAATGCCAGCCATTGTTTTAGAGCAGGGAAAGTTGTGTTCCTTTGTAAGGAAATAGGGAGCCAGGAAGTGAGGGCACTAAAATAAACCTTTACAGTGATGTGTCCCCTGCAATGTAAACATGGAAGGCTCGCCTCTCCTGCCGCCTGCACCGGTAGTGAAGAGACTTCCTGCAGAATCCAACATTTCTGGGAGTGTAGATTTACTGGTCCCCTGCTGCGCACTGTGGCGTTATTGTGTCCTGATCCATGTTGTGATGTAGGGGCCACCAGGAGGAACTTCAACATGTGGGTGGGAGGACCAAGATCTTCTGGATTTGTCATATTCTGCAGGATCTTCAGCTGGTGGTTTCTCTCCACTACGGCATAGGTTGGTGCCACAGGCAGCAGGAGAGGTGAGTATTGTCGTCTTCTCTGGAGACTTTAAAATGTGTGTTTGGCCAAGAACATCATAAATGCTTTTGGAAAGATCTCCTGCCGGTCAGATCCTTCACCCATCATCTCCAGTCTACATCTAGTCGCAGAAAAGATCTCAATGTTTTTTTTCTCCTTTTCTTGCAGAGTTTTTCGATGATTTTTCTGAGGGGAGAGAATGCGTCAACTGTGGAGCCATGTCCACCCCTCTGTGGAGAAGGGATGGTACGGGCCACTACCTGTGCAATGCCTGTGGGCTTTACCACAAGATGAACGGAATCAATCGCCCATTGATCAAGCCTCAGCGAAGGCTGGTAAGATTCTTCAGGGGTCCCATATTCCTTTAAAGTCTATCCCACGCAACAATTCTTTGTGTTTTCATTGGGCAGAGTGTTGGGAAGTTAGGAACCCTATCAGGTGTTATTTCTGGAACTTATATGACTCTGGATCTGAATATGGCTCTGGATTCAACTCATCAATAGTTCATGGGTGAAGAAGGTCAATCAGATTCAAAGGGAGCACAATGGCTCCTGTGAGGCTGTCCTCGGCACAAAGAGGGGGCCCCTTAACTAGGAGACACAGAGTCTGGAATCCAAACCATGTGTTGAAACCACCAGACCAAAGAACTAAGAATCCAGGATCTTCTAGTCCCCGATCGTGACATTTTATGCTTTCTTGTTATCAGCTAAGACCAACATTCTTAGTTCCTGGACTCTTAGTTCTGGTCTGGGGCTCTCAAGACTTTTTGGGATTCCAAACTCTAGGTCCTAATTAAGGGCCCCCCGTGTTTTGTGCCCTGAGAGAGCAGCCTCACAGGAGCCACCGCACCCCATTTAAATTTGATTGACCTTCTTCAACCAGGTTCCTGGACTCTCAGCCTATTATTATTATTATATTAGGTTTATATTGCTGACTAAGTCCCTATGAGTGGGATTATGTCTTTCTGTTTCTCCCGGTTGTCATTGTCACCAGAGGGAAAAGCCAACACTTTGAACAGGAATTAAGGGGAAGTCTTCTAGTGGACATACCTGCCTGGTGACAACTGCGTAAAAAGATTTAATTTCAATTTGGAGAGATTAAATTTAATTTCCTGTTGTGCCAAGAGGAGAGGAAGTGAAGGGAAATCTTTCAGATGGGACGCGGACAGGGCCGGATTTATTCTCTCTGCTGCCCCAAGGCCAGGTTCCTCAATGCGCCCCCCTACCAGCCAGACCCCCCCCTCCCCAATGGAGAATGGCAGACCTGCAGGTTGCATACAAATGATCTTGGCAACATCACTGAGATCACTTGTACAAAACAAGCCCCCGCTGTACATTTAGCTCTGCTAGGCCAAAGCAGGGCTAAATGTAGAAAACAACTACCTGCCCGGCGCCCGGAACTGCATGTCCAGGTTGTCGGGAGATAGGAATTCCACACCCCTGCTGCCCCTCTACTCCCTGCTGCCCCAAGGCTGGGCCTAGGTTGGCCTTGTGGGAAATCCGGCCCTGGACGCGGATGGCGAACATAAAAGTCGGCATAGAATTTCACCCTTCCATGAAAGGGGGAAGCTGTTGTTGGCCTGCAGTCATGCAAGCTGAATACAGCTACTGTTACAGACTGCGGTCAGGTCAGCTGTGGTTACAGAATGCGGTCACGCCATTAGGGTTGCCACCTTTTCTTTCAGCGAAACCCGAACCTCTAGCGACACAGAGATTTTTTGGGGGAGAATGAGTTGCGGCTTATGCATATGTAAATAGTGCCACCCATTCATATGTAAATATCACAGTCAAGACTATTTTCAGTGGGGGGCCAGTAGCTACTATATTAATTTTGGTTGCCCCTATCTGCCTGACATCATGTGTCCGGGTCTCAGCTGCCATGAAACCCGGACAAAGCATTCGAAACCCGGACTGTCCAGGTGAATCCCGTACAGGTGGCAACCCTACACGCCATCCACAGTGATGTGGGCTGCTGAGTACATTTCTGTAGCAGAATATTAGTCGGTCGCTCTGAGTTGGCTCTCCTACAGGAGCATGTCAATGTGTTGTAATGGGGTGAAAGGGAGTATAGTGGAGATATCATATATAGTCATTACAAGAAGTCCAGGGCCTTCCATATACATCAATATTGCCCTTTATACACATATATGATAAGAGATAAATAGTTTTCACTTCCTCCTTCCCTGTTATTTGTTACTAATAAGACGCTCGGCCTCCATTAGTGAAAGCGCAGCAGATTCCTTCGACACAAAAGGAGAGAAGTCCAGGAGGAAGTGGACACGCGGCCCCAGGGACATCCTGAGATTCATTTACTTGGTGTCAGCAGATATCAGATGCAGTAAAGTGTATTCAAGATCTGTGATGGAGGTTATACGTGACTGACCTGGATAACACTTTCCTCAGCACATATCACTTTATTATATTATTATTATAACAATGGGGAGAATTCTATCAAATCTAATACAGTCCAATGTGGAAATAGTTCCTCTGAATAGATAGATAGATAACTCAACACACGGCCATTAATGTCTAAACCGCTGGCAACAAAAGTGAGTGCACCCCTAAGTGAAAATGTCCAAGTTGGGCCCAAAGTGCCAATATTTTGTGTGGCCACCATTATATTCCAGCACGGCCAAACCCTCTTGGGCATGGAGGTCACCAGAGCTTCACAGGTTGCCACTGGAGTCCTCTTCTCCTCCTCCATGATGACATCACAGAGCTGGTGGATGTTAGAGACCTTGCGCTCCTCCACCTTCCATTTGAGGATGCCCCACAGATGCTCAGTAGGGTTTAGGTCTGGAGACATGCTTGGCCAGTCCATCACCTTTACCCTCAGCTTCTGTAGCAAGGCAGTGGTGGTCTTGGAGGTGTGTTTGGGGTTGTTTTCATGTTGGAATACTGCCCTGCGGCCCAGTCTCCGGGGGGAGGGGATCATGCTCTGCTTCAGTATGTCACAGTACATTTTGGCATTCGTGGTTCCCTCAATGAACTGTAGCTCCCAAGTGCCGGTAGCAGTCATGCAGCCCCAGACCCCACCACCATGCGTGACTGTAGGCAAGACGCACTTGTCTTTGTACTCCTCACCTGGTTGCCGCCACACACGCTTGACACCATCTGAACGAAATGCGTTTATCTTGGTCTCATCAGACCACAGGACTCGGTTCCAGTAATCCATGTCCTTAGTCTGCTTGTCTTCAGCAAACTGTTTGTGGGATTTCTTGTGCATCATCTTTAGAAGAGGCTTCCTTCTGGGACGAGAGCCATGCAGACCAATTTGATGAAGTGCACAGCGTATGGTCTGAGCACTGACAGGCTGACCCCCCCCCCACACCCTCCTACAACCTCTGCAGCAATGCTGGCAGCACTCATACGTCTATTTCCCAAAGACAACCTCTGGATATGACGCTGAGCACGTGCAACCAACTTCTTTGGTGGACCATGGCGAGGCCTGTTCTGAGTGGAACCTGTTCTGTTAAACCGCTGTATGGTCTTGGCCACCATGCTGCAGCTCAGTTTCAGGGTCTCGCAATCTTCTTATAGCCTCGGCCATCTTTATGTAGAGCAACAATTCTTCTTTTCCAGATCCTCAGAGAGTTCTTTGCCATGAGGTACCATGTTGAACTTCCAGTGACCAGTATGAGAGAGTGAGAGCGATAACACCGAATTTTACACACCTGCTCCCATATAAGTATGCAATTATTAAATGCCTTACTATCCTAAGCTTGACCAATTTGGAAAAATCTGGAATGATTTTTATAAGCCTTGCGAATGTCTTCTCTCTTTTTCTCCAGTCCGCCTCCCGCCGCGTCGGTCTCTCCTGTGCCAACTGCCATACCACCACCACCACCCTGTGGCGCCGCAATGCAGAGGGGGAGCCTGTGTGCAACGCCTGTGGACTCTACATGAAACTTCACGGTGTACCCAGACCGCTGGCAATGAAGAAAGAAGGCATACAGACAAGGAAACGTAAACCGAAGAACCTCAGCAAGGCTAAAACTCCCTCAGGTAGATGTGATGCAAAAACCGTCCATCTGGGAGTTTTTGACATTTCCGCCCACTTTTGTCTGTTCAGCAAGTAGATTGGGAGCCCCCCATATTGATCAGAGCGGTATATAGACCCAGGACCTCAGCACAGGGATGGTGGGTGCTCCTCATAATGGGCACAGCAGGTGTATAGACCTCCGAACTCAGCACAGGGATGGTGGAGCTCCTCATAATGTGCACAGCAGGTGTATAGACCTCCGAACTCAGCACAGGGATGGTGGGAGCCCCTCATAATGTGCACAGCAGGTGTACAGATTCAGGAACTCAGCACAGGGATGGTGGGAGCCCCTCATAATGGGCACAGCAGGTGTGCTGCCCGAGCACCTCAGCACAGGGATTGGGGAACCCCTCATAATGTGCACAGCAGGTGTACAGACCCGGGAACTCAGCACAGCATGCTAATGGGCACAGCAGGTGTACAAACCCAGGAACTCAGCACAGAGATCTCACAAGTCCCTGAGAGATAGAAGAGACTGTCAGGGTGTTTATTTCTCCAGAATGTACCAAACACTGAGATATGAGCGCTAAGCGTTGTTGTCTCTCCTTCACCCCAGGACCAAACGGCACCGATAACCTCACTCCTTCCACCAGCTCCACCAACTCCACGACTGCAGAGGACCTGCGCCCCATCAAGATTGAACCTGGACTGTCTCCTCCATATGGACACTCTATTTCTCTATCTCAGGTACAGTATCTCTTTATACTAAACAGATAGCATGTCTCCTCCTACACAGGTACCTGTCACCATGCCGATGTCACCCTGTTTGGGGTCGTTACAGCACGTCTGTCATTTGTTATAAAGCTGAACACCAGGCAGCTACTAAAGCTCAACCTTAAATAGTTATGGATTACTAATAATATTGTGGTGCCGGAACCCCGTCAGGTTTTTATCATGAGAAAATCCTCCAATCCATCCAGTGCCATGGATTACGGTGACGCCATATTATAGTTCAGTTACAAGAATTAGACAACACGCCACCTATGTATGAGATCACATTGCATAAAAAAGATAAGAAGAAGAAGATACATAGTATCCACCAACATCTTGTGGCCCCGAGGGACTCCTTTCTCAAGGTGATAGCGAGGTGACAGAGACTTTGTCACCTTCTTATCTTTTTCATGTGACCACTTTTGCATTTCAACCTCAATACATTTTGGAGGCACATGGGCGGTGTCCAAAAATGTGGGACCAGCACACACGATGATCTTCCAAAGACATTCAAACTTTATTCCACATGCATCTATACAAAGCACAACCGCATGGGCGGTGTGCCTCCAAAATGTATTGAAACGGAGATTTCTATCACAATCTGTGTCACCACTGAGGAGATTCGGCCTTTCCTGGTGACCATTGTCATTGGGACTGAGAAGGAGGAAAGTCCAAAGTTTTAGCTTTAGAACACAAATATAGGCAAAGTCATACAACGGAGGCCCTAGAATGGGTTCTGGTGTCAACTGCCTAAGCGTGGATTTCCCTCACTTCCTGTTGTGTCCAGGGCACGCTTGCCAACATTTTAGTCCCAGTTGCCATCAGACTGTGACCTCACCCATGGTTCTCAAGTGCATCTCCTCTTTCCAGGCAGTCATGCCCAGGACAAAACCCATTTTCTGATGCGGTCGGGGAACCGCTCACTCACGGCCATGATCCCTTCAGGCAATACTCATGTTCAGTAACATCTCGGGACACGGGATCACCGGGACAGAGGCTTGAGATGCAAGATCGTCCCGGAAAATTCATGAAAGTGGACCGTGTACTAAAATTGCAAGGTCCACTTTTTTTTTTAGGCCCCCCATCTGGAAACACTGCCTATAAATGTTTAGAAAATATCAATTTTCACCCTGTTCTGATGACAACCCAAAATGAGCTTTCAGTGATAATAGTCACCTTCACAAATAGAGGGGGGGGGGGATCTCCCTAACGGGGACACACACAGCAATAAAAACCTTACAAGGGTTCTAATCCCTCTCCACTGTATCCAAAACGTAAGAAAAGTTTTGGCTTCAGTTAGTGATCTGTATCTCCAATGATTACCTAAGTGCAGTGCACAATAGAAATCTGATTGCTTCCTCATTGCTTCCATTCCTGGTGTGCAGACAAGCTGATCTCTACACTGTACAATGTGAAATGCAGACAGGGCGAGTGTAAACAGAGCAATGGTTAAATGGTGACAGCTCTTCAGGCAGGGTGGGGGTTGCATTTGCAAAACAGTTTGGTGCCCCCATATACGTATATATTAAATAATCAGTTAGTGTATATAT